TCCCCCTCCCTCACTCCAATTTCCTTCCTCCCCTCCCATAGAGTGCAGGCCCCATCCCCCCTCCCCTTTCTTTCCTCCCCCCTTTCTTTCCCTCCCCCTCCCATAAAATTTTCCTTCATCCCCTCCCTCCCTCCATTTCCACCACCTCCGACACCTTGCAAGCGGTGCCTGCGGCGCGCGAGGGAGCACTCTCCTCTGCTGCTTCCTCTTCAGCTCCCTCGCGCGCCGCATACTGATGCCGGAGCCGGAAGATGACGTCATGCTCCGGTTCCGGCATCAGTACTCGGTGCGCGAGGGAGCTGAAGAGGAAGCACACAGAGAGTGCTCCCTCGCGCGCCCGCCGGGTGTCAGCAGGGCCAGCCTCTGGGGGGCCCTGAGGTGACCGGCTGCTGGGCCCCCTAGGAGAAGAGGCTGGCCCAGTGGATACCTACCGGGGTCGACCCGGTATGTACCCACTGAATGTGGGGCCCGGACAACCTGAGCAGTCCGGGCCCCCCAGGACCGCCGGGCCCATGACAACCGTTGCGGTTGTCATGCCCTGATGGCGGCCCTGTGTCAGTTCAGGCAGTCCCCCTGCTGGCAATACTGAGGACACCTATGGGGGCCATGTGAGGCCCCTGGGGGTCCTAAATTGGAGAGGGGGGACCTCTCTGGGCTCAATCCAGAGAGTCCCCCCCAAAGAAGAAGACCGATCGCCTGCGGGGGAACACGGCGATTGGTAAGTACATGGGGAAGGGGGGACAGAGGGTAGGGGTTAATTTTTTTTTGTTTATTTTTTTTTTAAAATATACTTCTTTTTACAACTGTTACTGAGTGACACCCACTCACCACATCTAAATTTATGTCACACATCAGAACTCTATTGTCAAGGTTGGGCTACAACCCAGCTTCCTTGTCTGGTCACTCGTTTCGCATCGGCGCAGCATCATCAGCTTCAAGCACTAACACTCCTGTACACATCATTAAGAGACTGGGACGCTGGAAATCCTCAATATACAACTCCTACATCCCTCGACCAGAAAGGGAGCTCAGACAGGCCTTCAGAAATCTCGCAGTTTAAACTTGCAATAAAGTGTGTTTACTTTGAATTCCTTCTTGCCCTCTTTTTACAGGCCTACTTGTATGTTGGTTTTGGCACACCTTAACCAACTTTGCTTCCAGGATACATAACCCTGGGTGCCAGTCACTAGGGGGGTGCCCGGGGCAGACTGCAATGCACCTCCTGTGCCCCTTCGCCGAGACCGGTCTGCAGCTCCGCAGTGTGCAGAGCTGCAGACCATGTGTCTCGCGAGCACTGCCCAATCAGAGGGTTACCACGGCAAGGCTCTGATTGGGTCTTGCGAGATCCACCGGAAATGATGGCCACCGGACCACCAGGCAGCCCCCACTGGACCACCAGGGATTTAAGGTAATTTTTAAGTCCCCCCTGTATAACCCCCCCTCTCCTCATCACATCACCCCCCCTCCCTCTCCTTATTACCCTCCCTCCCTATCACAATCACCCCTTCACAATCACCCCCCTTCCTCTCACAATCACCCCCCCTCTCACAATCACCCTCCTCTAACAATCAACCCTCCTCTCATCCTCTCACCCCCTCCCTGAGCTCCTCTCACTTCATCCCCCTACACCATCCCCCCCCCTCTCCTCATCACCCACTCCCTCTCACAATCACTCCCTCTCACAATCACCCCCCTACCTGAGCTCCCTCTCACTTCACCCCCCTTACCATCACCTCTTCCCTAACACCATTATCCACTATACAAGCACACACACTGCATTCACTATACAAACACACACAGACACACACTTAAACATGTGTGTCTGTGTATCTGTATGTGTGTTGGTGTATGTGTCAGTGTGTGTCTGTTTGTGTGTCTGTGTTTGTATTAAAGGACCACTATAGTGCCTATAGTGCCCTGAGGGTGCCCCCATAGACATTTAAAAAATTTGCGGGTGTTTTTTTTAAAATTTTTAAATATAGGATCTGCCCCGGGTGCCAAATGCTCCAGGTACGCCCCTGCCCAGTACAGTACCTGTTTCTATAGAGAGAGGCAGAATATATACAAAACATACATAACACTAACTAACTCAAAACATACAAGTTAAAAGTAGCAGCAAAGAGTGGAGATGAATAAATGCTTTATAGGTTATACCAAGAGGAGTGAATCGCTATCTACGCATAAAGGTCATTCCAACCACATTTCTATGACTTCTATCCTCTTACTAGTTCCATCACTGTCTCCCTTTGTGCTAGAATTATTTAAATAAGTGAGACTTCACTTTATTACCATACCAATCTCACTCCAGGTAGGCGATTCTAGTTGTCTCTATCTTCATGCGATCATAATTTAAAGCAGTGAATAACAAAAAATGTATCTATTTTAGTTAAATTTGGCCAGTTTAGATGGAGGAGAGCAACTGTTGGTTAGACATAGATGATATAAATTCCATTGATCTTGACAGGGGTCTATTTACAATATCTCCACTTAATAAACTAGATAACCTTGAGCAATACTCTGTACTCTGATGTAAAATCAGTCTTATAGAAGTCTAAAAAAAAATGTTAATTCTCAAATATGAGAATAATTCATTGTTTGGGAGAGAAAATTCTATTTGTAATCGGGGAAATTATTAATATTAATACCATCCATAAGTTGGTTTATACTTTCTAAACCATGTCTTGTCCAATTTCTTATCGTAATTTTTTCTATATTCGCTTCGACTATCTCGATTTTGAAGAAATTAAGAATATTTTTTTTTCTAAATTCAACTTTTTATTTAATCTTTCACACTCTTCCATTAAATAATTTACAATAAGGTTATTTTTCCAACTCTGTTTTAAGTTATAAGGATCGTCAATATTCCATATGCCTGTTTCCCAATTATTCATATTAGTCATATCACATTCGACTTGATACCAGAATTCTTTCTTATTATTTTGTAGTTGAGATCTGTATATATGTGTTAAAATATTAGCTTTATAAAGATCTCCCACTAAACGCATATTCCGCCTTTTTTTATTTTCAATGCTAAGCTGTTTCTGATTATTCTCTGGATTCTATCTTTCCCGACAAAACCATTGACGATTCTCTGGATCATTGTTATCCATAGAGATGTTACCTTCAAGGGGATCATCTGAAAAAGCTAAGACCATTTCGGTAGAACATAATTTCTAATGGTATTTACTCTTCCCCCACCATTATATTTCATACATTCTCCATTCTTTTAAAGGACCACTATAGTGCCAGGAAAACAAACCTGAGGGTGCTCTAGGGGTTAAAATCTTACCTTTCTCCAGCCCTGGGCTCCCTACTCCTTCTTCTGCCATCATCGGCTGAATGCGCATGCGCAGCAAGAGCGCGCGCATTCAGCCAGTCTCATAGGAAAGCATTCTCAATGCTTTCCTATGGACAGCAGCGTCTTCTCTGTAGCACTAGATTGCCTTAAAGCAGACTTTAAAAAAATCATATAAAGCCATTACTGCTTGTAAGAATTTCCCTGTTATACCAAACCTCTCCAGGACCGAGGCGAGGAGATCCCACCCGACTCTGTCAAAGGCCTTTTCTATGTCCAATGACAGTCAGGTGGTTAATCTCCCTCTTCTTTACATAATCCAGGATATCAATAATTCTCCTAAAATTTGATGATGAAGTTCTTCCCGGAACAAAACCCACTTGATCTGGATGGATCAACTCTCCGATAATAGTTTTCAATCTAGCAGAGAGCACTGTCACATATATCTTCATATCAACATCAATCAGTGATATTGGGCGATAATTAGTGATCTCTGTTGGGTTCTTACCCTGCTTTAATATTGGTATAATGTTTACTCGTCATCTCTTCCGAGAATCAATCACCCTCTAATATATCATTAAACACCTTAATGAGAGCCTCTGATATCATCAAAGCATATTACTTATAAAAAATATTACAATTGGAAAAGCCATCGAGACCTGGGGACTTCAAATAACTTCAATTATTTTTTCATATAATTTATAGCTCTTTCTATCTCTTCCGTAGTAATATATCTATTTAGTTGGTCTATTTGAATTTTTTTAAGGGCAGGGAGAGAAGTTTTAGAAAGATACTTCTCTATTAATGCTATTCCGGGTTTAGATTCTATATTATAAAGTTTAAAATAGTAATCGTTAAATGCTCGCCAAATTTCTTCAGGATTAACCATGTTCTTGAGTTAATCATTAATTTATGCACTCTATTATCTGTTTGTTTTTTCTTCAATTTTCTAGTGAGCATTTTATCTGCCCTATTTCCTCTGTAATAATACTTTATTTTCATTTTTTCAAGATTTCCTGTTATTCTTTCTGTAATTTTATCCCTTATTAAAACTTTATTTCTAATACGTTTATCTAGTGCAGAGGTTCTCAACCCAGTCCTCAAAGACCCCTCAACCAGTCCAGGATTTAGGGATTACCTGGGTGTGTCTAAGGTGTTTAGGGGAAAAAAAAAAAACACCTTAGTTTCTAAGGTGTTTTTTTTCTTCTTTTTCTAAACACCATAGTCACACCCAGGTAATCCCTAAATCCTGGACAGGTATAGGGTCCTTGAGGACTGGGTTAAGAACCCCTGATCTAGAGTGTCCTGTGATAAATTTAAACTCTCTAGTCAGTTGATAATGATCTTGATATATTTTTGATAGCGGTTGCCTGGCTTGTTTAGTCGGATTTGCAATTTTATAAAATTGCCACGAATCACAGCCTTAAAAGCGCACCAATAAATGCCCGAGGTGGTGTCTGGCACTTAGGCTCGGCTCCTTAAGGAGGGCATACAACACCCGCCGTCCTTAAGGGGGTCCACTATGCTCTGAACACACTCCTTGCAAACGGTGACTAGGGTGCTGAGATAAAGGTATCAGGTACCACTGGAGACCGGGAAAAAAAATTGACAAGCTACATGAAGACAAACATTTGCAACTTACATCGCATAGGCAGAACGTCTCTTCAGGGTAATGGACTTACGCATACCAGATTACATCCTGCACCTGGCTTCAGTAGACTCATAAGCATTCTCTTTAACCCTTATGGTATGTCAATCCTATCCAGCTCATCTATCCTAAGCCATGGTGAGTAGCTAAAGCACAGCCATATACCGGCACCTGAGTCCCACTGGAAGTGGCGGTGTGCTACCACCGCTTCCTATCACTCCACATAACGCCTTGTGTTCATGATTATTTTCTTTTCATGCCTGCTTATTATTTCAGGTTTTAGTTTGTTGATTATCTCTTGAGGATCTAATTTAGAGCATCTGGGGTGCCAAAGGTTGCCTATGCCTGTTCTCCTGAATCCCATACCCCCATTATTATTTTTTTTATGAAATTTTTATTAAAACATTTACCTTGCTTACTTTAACATAGTGTTAGCCACAGTTCAGCCAGGAACACTGTATTATCATGGACATGCCACTGTGTGTGTACGTATAAAAAAAATATATACATATTTTTTAAAAGTCTGCTTTAAGGCAATCTAGTGCTACAGAGAAGAAGCCTCTCATTCTGCTCTACTGTATTTCAGCCTTCCTCCAATAAACTTTTATGCTAACCAGATTTTCACCAATCCTGTAATGAAACTGCTCAAAAAAGCTGATGGAAGCCATACCACAACTATCCCACCAGCTTTTTTTTGTGGAAGAGATCTCTACACAGTTTTAATAGATCTAAAAACAGTAAAGCATGATGCTAAAAATGCCTTGTGTCCGAGAGCAGCCTTCTAATATGGTATTCTTTGAGTCAGTGCAGTGTTCTCCCTGCAATAATGCAGTTACAAATTTCACAGTATTCTTTACAAAAATAAAAATACATACATTTAGGGGTTAAACGGTATTTATTTATTTTGTTATAGTTTCCAATTATTGTTTTTTGGGGGGAGGTACTTCCAAATAAAAACCACTTGTGACTTCAACATGGGGGTAGGGTAGTTGTAGAATTTAAACATAAGCCAATTTAAATTGCCTTGGAAGTATCCTAATGTTTGCATTCTGCAGATACATTTTAGTGTATAAATAGATTATTTCTCTCTCTCCTTTTTTTTTTTTAAAAAACCAATCACATTGTGAAAAGAAAACAAAAACGAACAGTTGAGGAATATAGCACAGCCATATTCACATGATGCATGGTTACAAATATAGTAAAGATGTTCCACATCAGCAGCATTAAGTACTTAATGGGAAAGAGGGGAAAAAAAAAAAGTGCGTTTATGTGTTTGGACTAGTTTACAAATAGGCATCTGAAACAAAGGGACTGCATAAATCTAGTAGAGCTGAAAAAGAAAAAAAAAGGGAAACCCACACACCTTTCCCAAGATCTGTGCAAATACAATGTTTTACAAGGCATTCTGGGACAGGACTAACCCTTTGATAAGTTGCCATTTCTACTGAATTCTGCAAAAGCCTGCATTGGTCTTTGCTCACCAGCTACATGTTCCTTTGAAGACCAAAATCAGTGCAAGGTTCCAATGCCAATCGATAGAACAGTGCAGGTCTCCCTATTCACATGATCAAATATAACATCTACAAGGACACATGAAGAATTCCTAGAAATCTGCACCTTTGAGAGAACAGGGTAGTACTTAATACATGGTTGACCATATTATGGTCAAATGTAATACATATTCCTCCATTTCACAAGACAATACTGATAAACAAAATTGTCATCTCTTAACAATTTAGAAGTCCGTGTAGGGATATTAAAAGGAATGTCCATTCTCTTGAAAAACAGAAATCCAGGATAAGAGGTAAGGCTGTGTTAAAAGTAGCAGTGAAAGTGGGCTCTGACAGTTCAGATGTAAACACTTATGAGTTGAGTTTCACATGGTCCATTCAAATAGATTCCCAAGCAGTGCAGTACAGAATGTTCTTAACTATGGTGGAGTCTTTAGATAGCCCCAATTACAATTTCACAATGTTGCATCACTTAAAGCAGTTTGAGCAGTGGGAATACTCAGACTGCATGAATATCAAAAATACATCTATTTATACAGGTGTGAGCAGCTGCTAACTTTTTTTTTTTTAATATAGTTTTTTTTATTTTTATATAAAATCCTTAAGAGCTTCATTTGCACCAATCCCACTACATGACCAGTTTATAATTGAGAACACGAGAATGTGTACATATTTATACTGGCATTTTGTGCAAAAGGCTACACACACGTGCGGGCGTGTTTTATTTAAACAAAATAAGTTTCTGAAGTCACAGATCCTGTGACTACATTCAGCAGTTTTGTACTAAAAAATACTCTTTGCAGGGTTTCCTGCACTCATTTACATATACTACAACTTGTACAGCTATTTACACAGCTACTCGGTTGTTCATATTATTACTATATAGACAGTTACAAAATTTCAAGTTGAAGAGTGCTGCTAGTTGAATGACCAATTATACAAAGACTACATTTGAGAGGAAAGAAAAAGTGACGTCATTCAAGTCATTACTTTACACAAAACGTTGAGATTATATACACATTTATACATCTGGATTTGATATTGAATGCACTGTTCAGCAAGATAATAAGCGCAGATTCCCCCCCCCCGATGCACAGAAAAAAAAAAAAAAAATTCTAAGTAGAGCAGCGCAAGGACAGCACTTTATAGCCTGCTGACAAAACATGCAATAATCAATGACTTAGCAGGAAGTTACATGGGGTTTATTATCTAAAGCAGGGCCCCAGATTTAGGAGCCAGGCTAATATAGTTCCATTAATGCATGCAGTCCAGCTTGTAAAATAAAAATATAGATAAAAATTGACCAAATGTCAGGTTCCTAACATGAAGCCAGTAGTTGGCTATTACTCTGGTTTTCAAATGTCTGTTATGAATAGGGAACTAATGCCCCCCCCCCCCATCCCCACTTAAAACAAAAGAAGTAGGTAAAAAGGGTGACAGGAATGGTTGGGGTGGGATATCCAGATTTCAGTTAAATACTTAAATCTAAAAACTGCAGATTTAAAAAAAAATAATAATCCTGAGGCTGGAGACTATGCCATGTGTCTAAAAAATGGATTGTAAGCTAGCATTAAGCGTCATGTTTAAATCATAGTGGCTAATCAGTTATAGAATATACAAAAAAAATAAAAAAATTTTATTAAAGTTTATACTAGAGAGCATTTACATGGTGATCAACACCACATATCGCAAGCAGTCTAGATTGGGCGGGAAGGGTATTATGACAAATTTTACACCGGGAAAATAAGATTTGCGTAGCAGTGATTTGGTTTTGGTTACTGGTAAGACCCTCAAAAACAGACTTTGGCAGTACATGTGAATTGTTGGCACATAAGTGGTATAAGAACAAAACTAGCCTGGTAAATTGGCTACGCTATGCACATGCTGGCTAAACCACTGGTGAATATTGAGACAAAAAAAAAAAAAAAAATATGTTAGCCTGTTCCAGATATTACAACATATACAAATACATTGATAAAAGAACCAAGCCTTCACAGCATATGTTGCAATTTACTAGTGCTGACCGTAATCAAAGACAGCCCCAAAAGACATGCTTCCATTACTTTTAAGTGCAACAAAATCGATGTATTGATTTAAAGATGATATACAAAACAAATAGAGTCATTGCAACACACTAACAATGCAGTGATGAGTGCTTCAGCTGCAGGAGTCTTCATGGAAGGTTCCCCAACATCTCATTCAGTTCTTCTGAGCAACTAAACAGAGCAGACCAATTCCTGATTTGTAGGTGTGCTAGATAAGCTACTTTAGGACTAAAGTATAGCTGCATAGTCTTCAACTTGAAATGCTGTAATTATCCTAGGGACATTGGTTGGCCTGAAATGCTTGTTAAGATTGGACTTTCAGCAAAGTCTTTAGTTGAAATGACATCAATTCTTTCTCAGCAGGATTACAGGAAAGAAGTACCCAGTGGCTTGGAGGTTTGGGAAGAACACTTGGTGATGGTGGTTCACTAAATTTGGCTCCAGCATAATTCTGGTTAAGCTGACCATGGAAGAGGTTCTTTGATCCTGACAATCCTAGATTCCAGTTCTGGTTTGTTGAGCGAGTGTTGTTGGACCAATTCTGCATGGCCTGCCATGCAAGACCAGATGGATTGTAACCACGACCTTTGTCTTTAGCACGACAGGTATTTGCCTTTTGATTGTTGCGATCAAATACTTTCTGACGATTATTCTGTTTGCCAACAGTTCTTTGCTGTTGAACAGGAATGTTATATCGCTCACCTCCTCCCATCTTGAACTGTTTTGTCACCTATGGTTAAGAGGGAGAAAAGTTAGAGAAACTAGTAACTATTGCAGAGGTCAAGTTTTCAGCATATTTATAATCTTTATAAATTTGTCCTGTTCAAGTGCTGCACAGTTATATAAAAAATAAAAAAATAAATGAATATGCAGGACATTTTGGAAATATGGTGGTACTGAACCAGAACCAAATTCTGACAGCACACAATGTTTTAAAGGTGATAAAAAAAATAAAGCTAGAGTTTTTCCTTTAAGTTTTAAATTAATATTCACTTTTAGCATGCAAGAAAATGTGAAAACCCCACAGCACTGCATCACTTTAAGAGGCACCAAGTGACTTCCTAGAATTTTTTTTTTTTTATTTATTTTTTTTTTATTAACCGCCCCCCCAAAAAAAAAAAAAAAAAGGCTTTGAAATAGCTAAATTAGAGTTTAGATAAACATTAATATGCCTTCTCACCTTTCAGCAGATCCTTCAAACTTCTCAACTCCTTTCCCAGATCTCAAAATTAGCACTTTATGTTCTCTTTGCAATCCCTTCTTTAACCTTCCAGTTTGCACTTGCATAAGACAGTAAAGATCCAAAACCAACATGGAAACCCCTTGTGCGCAAGGCAACAGTAGGGGTGACACTCGCACAGCTGTTAGGAGAAAAACAGAGTTTCTTTGAAGCTGGGGGAGGGGCAGTGGGCAACAAGATATAAGAAAGACAGGAAACCAAGACTCAATTGAGACAAAACATACAATCACATACGCACCAACAAAAGTTAGTCACTTATGCAGCTCGTTGTAGTGAACCGTGCTGTTAACTGAACTATGAGACATTACCTTGTATGGCTAATTCTTTGGTGGAGACCCACATTCTCTAAATAGAATCCTATATGGTTCTAAGACCGTTAACAGAAAATGTATAAAAAAAAAATAAAAAAAAAACAGCTAGTAAGAGAGATTATGCCTCTACAGTGGAAGGGGTGGTCAGGGCTTCAGTGTGATTTTATGTAATTATTACACTCCTGATGAGATGAAGAGTGACCACTCAAAAATATATATAATATAAAACCCACACACAAAGCTTTCAATATATAGAATTGCTGTTTTGGTGATTTACTACTCACCGCATTATTGCAACTTGAAGACAAATTAAAAACAAAAAACAAGATTTAAAAAGTTGAAGTGTTTACAGTGTTATCAGATACACTATAGCACAATGTGTTTAGCGTAGCTTTTAGTGAATAAGCCCCTATCAGACTCTCACACAGCCACTGCAATACTAGTTATAACCGGGGCTACACCGGGCACAGGGACCCCACAATTAGACCATGCAGGGTCTCCTGGTCATATTAATATAACTGAGCCAGGTTTCCGCCCGTACATTGAGAACAGGGGCCACAAGTTCACAGTCCAGGAAACAAAGAAAACAAGCGAACTACCAAAACATGGCGGCAGAGAGGGGGGAGGGGTTGGAAACATCCCACAACCGTCAACTTACCGAGACTTGGTAACACCAGGACAGCTCCTCTCTCTCCGCCCAGCTAGGACAGAGTCCGGCAGCGATGTGTTAGTCCTCTGTTGTTTGGGTTTAAAATATCTCAGAAACAAGCCCGAGCCTGCGACACTGACCGGCTCCCGCCTCACACAGCCGAACCTTCGCTCTTCCAACTCGACACAACGAGTCAGGCAATAAAATGGAACGTTAGCCTCGCCTCCGTGCGCTCTAGCCAATAGCAAAGCAGGGAGGTGACGCCCAGCCAATGGGAGGCTATCTCTGTGGAAAGCTCGGAAATGTCTCAGTGGAAGAAGGCCTGTTGATGGGCGTGGTTATCATTCTGCTCGGTTCAGTCTCCCCCTCTGTTTCCATCCGAGCTGGATTGTTATTGTAGAGGGGGGAGGGGGAAGGAAAGCAAAACAATGGCGTCATCCTAGAAAAAAAGTTACTGACAGCTTGCAACATCCGGCTTCTCAAAAAACAATCCCTATATTACTGATATACACGTTTTACTTTCCTTATTATCATAGTGCATCAGAAGTATGGTATCTGCAGAAACCTTGATATTGTTTTTTATTACACACACCTATAGTATGATGTAGGTCACTAAACAGAGACTTGTGGTGAATTGAATGAAAGGAAATCAGAATGACATGACCAAAAGGGCCTGACTGGAAATGTAGGAGTTTGAAAATCTAAGCTCCAATTTAATATTATTAGAGAATTAACACGACAGGAATCAAGTTCCTGTGTTTGAATTATCAATACACATTGGGAGAAATTACATTTATAAGGTTAAATTCTAAATTATGGCAAATTAGGATGTAAACGCGCAAAATTGAGATTGAAATAGCTAGGCTACAGAACAGAACAATTTGGAGTTTAATGACTAAACCCCACATGTTTGCCATTGTTTCAGTTAAAATAACATTAACCCCTTAAGGAACAAACTTCTGGAATAAAAGGGAATCATGACGTCACACGTCATGTGTCCTTAAGGGGTTAAATAAGGCAATTTTATGAATACGAATTAATAACTAGATGTATTTGCTTTAAGACTACATGCTAAAACTATATTCAATAATATTTCTTTCATATAGCTCCCACCTGTTTATTACACAAAGATTTATTTTACCAACTAATCCTACATTTCCTTATATATTGGTACATTGTATATTATAAACACTACCTCACATTCAGGGAGTTAAACACTATATCGGCTGTTGTTAAACAGATTTTAATGTTTATTGTTTCTTGTTATGTGATCATTGTCCATCTCTTGTTAATTTATTTACTGAAATAATTATTATGCTCACATACAATCTTTTTCAGCTGCTGTATGGAGAATACCATTAATTAATGGAAGGGAAAAGAGACCTGCAAAAGTGTAAAAGAGACATTTTACAAGATTCTGCCATTGCAATAGATATCTTTAAAAAATAAAGGCATTCCTATGATTTGTTAACTATAATATAAACATGTTGAAAATAAAATAAAGTATACATTACTTATGTATATGATTTGTGTTCCTATGTTTTTATTTAGTTAGTTATTTGTATTTATTATCGTTCAATCCGTTGCTTAAGTTTAGGCCTCTCAGTGCTTTAGTTTTGGGCCATCTTGGACTTGTGATTGTGATTGATGTGAGGATAAAACTTGTAGTCTAAGACAGATGGATGCTTGCCCATCCCTTGGGGAAACTTGTTTACATTTAACTAGAACTGTTGTTCATTTAGAGACTGGGAGGGGGTTTTAGCATTGAATGAAGACATCAATGGGAGGGTTAATGGTTTTAGCACTGAATCCGGACATACCTCTATTTTGTGTTTTGATTGAAAGGGGGGGGGGGGAGGCAAAAGGATCGCAAGAGATATGACTTAACCAAGACAGAGGGTGTGTTAAAGCAAGCAAATACACATTTGATTGAAAGGATTGTCTCTCATGCAAATAATAGTAAATTAATCAGATTATGTTTCATTGGCATGCTTAATATTTAAAGTTAAAAATCCCAAGTAAGTGTTTCGCCTGTCCAGAACATTATGCATTTCAGTGAAACATACCATTTAATTTATTAGTATAAATGTTACCCATTTATATTAGTATAATATATTTACCAAGCAATGAGATTAGATTTTCTATTTTACAGACAAAACTAGACCCAACTAGCAGAGTTAGACAAAATCCTCACATGACCACATGCCACCCTTACCAGTCCCAACACCCATATGTCACAACTGGCCATCACTACTCTTGAAACTCAAACTTGCCATGTTGTATATCTTACTTGCAGGTCACAGTGCTGCAGAATATATTAACATTTTATAAGTAACAATAATAATAAGTCCATGTTCTGATTTTACAATTTCAATTGTGGGCAATACAGTTTATTACAAATGTTTGCACACCAGTACAGTCGTCATGGTAAGAATCAAAACTCATAAAACTGAAGAACACATTACGATTTCATATTTCAGTTATTATTAGGTAGGCATGTCCATATACACAATGCCTCCAAATAATTTGCCACAGGTTTAATTTTATATATAATTTTATACAAATATATAAAATTTGGGCTGTTACCTACGGCATATTAATCGTACAAATCTGTAGACCATCCTGTGGTTAGTATTATCCGAAAGATGTAGTTTGACACCAGTCTGTTTAGGTACTGTAAGAATGTGTATGGTAAAAAGGAACAAGAGTAATTGTGGAGGGATTTATGAGATGGTGTAATCTGGAATTAATTTACTAGATACTTGCCCTTGTAATGAAAGTCTGCATAGTTTCTATTGTTGCTTTTTAAATGCTCAACTTAAATTGGTTTCACATACTGGAAAAAAGGTTAGTTTAGGCATCTGTTTATGTGGTATTTCTGATCTATAGGCTTAGAATGTAAACTCGTTTGAGCAGGGCCCTCAACAACCTCTATTCCTGTGCGTCCAACTCGTATTTTTGCAAATACTTGTCTGTTTGGCCCCCATTGTACAGTGATGCGGAATTTGTTGGTGCTTTATAAATAATAATAATTCACACAGTGAGATTTTTTGGCACTCCAAGTGAATTTCAAATTTAAGGCTATAATAGCTGATCAGTAAAAGTTCTCCAAGTCAGTTCTACTTTTAGTTCAGCTATTTTGGCCTTAAATTTTAAATTCACTTTGAATTCCCAACAAGTCTCACTTTCGTATAAAAAAATAAATTAAAAAATACATGTTTGAGTCAGAATTATTTTTCTGTTGTGACATATGCCTGACAAAAGAATTCCAGAATCTCTTTTTCTTCTAGTATCTCTCAGTATAAAATTATATTTAATAATATATCTTTTTGAAGAATTGGTGTCTAATGAAAAAACAATAAATAGTTAGAACTCTGTTTTAAAATAAAGGAAGACATTATCAACAGGCATTCTGTTAACTTCTGCTGTGAGTTTGTGACAATTTTTGCTTTGTTAAATTTTGCTATGACTTGGAAATGTACGTGACAACTTTTGCAATGTTAGTGGCCCTTGACTATGTTAGTGATTCAGGTCGATACCCTCCCTCAGTTTTATTAATTGAACTTACACAAACACAGTTTGTTGTAATGCTGCCTTGAACTCAATATTATGATATCTCACAATAATGGGATGGGTTTAGAGCCTTTGCAATCCCTTTTTATTTTATTTGTTTCTTTGTTTTTTGACTAGAAGATTGAAAGCAATTTGAAGAACAAAAATCGAACTAAAAGCAAGGTTCAGCTATGCTGCATGAAGTGTCTCTTTAAGAGTCATTTGATAGACAGTTTTGCTGAAAGTGTTCACAGGAAGATGATAGCAACATTTGTAGGATAAACAGTTAGTGTTCTGAGTATGTGTTGTTTGACATTTCAGTGATACATATTTAGTGGCATTAGTCTGAATGACCTACGACATCCTGGCTATTTAGAGCACTTACATGGGTATCTCCACTGTATAATTATGCTAAAGAAAGGCTGTAATTTCTTCACCTGATTTTAGTGTTCATAACAGATTAGCAGGGAAGTTAGTAGGTTAAAGTTAACTGTTTTTTTTTTTTTAAGGGACATTGTGACATTTACTAATATAATTTGTAAGACTGACATACGTTCACAGGACCTCAAATCATGTCAGACTGACACTCTGAGAAAAGAAAGACCTCTTTTTTATTGTACTAGGACAAATGAAGCCTAGTGTACCTAGAAAGGGAATTTTTGGTATCAATGACAAAGTCGGAGTTTGTAGATATATTTCTAAACTTTTTTGACAAAGGGGAGTTTTAAGGGAAGGCTAAAAAATTGTGACAAAAACAACGTTGAACTTTTGTAAATTCCATACATAAAAAAAAATATATATATTAGCTTAAGCTTCAAGTTCTCTTTCATGACACTTTCCCCTTTCATGACACTAAGTAATTTGTCCATCCCAATTTCTGCAATTCTAAATCTTCTAATTCCTCTTTTATGCGTCTGAACCTCCTGTAATGTTCATATCCATTGCGTATCATAAAAGGTAACACAGAGTCTAACGTATTTTAAAAAATGCTTTCAGTTACAAATCACCTGATTGTGCCTCATCGTCTTATCTGGAATGTTTATTTTTTACTTGGTTTTGTAGGTCAGCAATGAGACAGCCAACTTTATTACATTTTACCTGTTTACAAAGAGGTGTGGTTCATTTTCATATCTTCCTTGTTCTTTTTTAACCCCTTAAGGACGTCAATTGTACAAGTTCTGATGAAAACAAAATGTAAACATAACCTGAAGTTTGTGCTATATGTCTGTTCAACCGTAATTCACCTGTTTCATATTAAGTACACCCACAATTATTATATATCATTTTATTCAGGAAAAACAGGGTTTTCATTTAACATCAAATATTTAGCTATGAAACATAATTTAATATGAATAAAATGTAAAAATGTTTTGAGAAATTAAGAAATGTTGTTATTGTTTTAGTTCTGCATGGGATTTTAATTGTGAAAGTTATAATATTGTTATTATGGCCATCAGGCATAGCGGGCAAAGGCCTGGTAGGCTGCGATGGCCATGGGCCGAGGCCGGCAGGGGAGATCACAGGATCTCCCCTTTTGGCCCATGCAGAGCCGACGCTATCCAAACGCTAGCCCTGCTGTGTGCCTTCATGGGCCGACAGGGGTAGGAGGGAGAGGAAGACCCGGGAGAGCTCTAGCAAACAGTTTCGGCAGGTTCCTCTCACGAGATCAGAGCGTTGCCGTGGTTACCATGGCACTGGTCAGATCTCGCGAGAGTGGACTTTAGCCTAAGCTGCAGGCTAGAGTTTAC